TAATCCACCCGCCTCGGCCTCCCAAAGTGCTGGGATTACAGGCGTGAACCACGGTGCCCGGCCATAAGCTTTATTTTCAAAACCAGGTGTTAGTCTAGTCTGGTTGTGCCTTGTAACTGTAGTTTGCTGATCCGTGAGTCTATACCATCAACCACCAAATTTTTTATTTTCCGGATTATTTGAAGTAAATCTTAGACATTGTATCATCTTGCCAGTAAATATTTCAGTATGAACCTGTTTTAAAAAAACTCTTTAAAAATTAACCACAACATATTTATCACACCTAAAATTTTAAAGATAATTCCTGGCTGGGGACAGTGGCTCATGCCTGTAATCCCAGTGTTTTGGGAGGCTGAGGTGGGAGGATCACTTGAAGCCAGGAGTTGGAGACCAGCCTGGGCAACACAGCGAGACCCCGTCTCTACCAAAAATAAAGAAAATAACTGAGCATGGTGGCATGCGCCAGTAATCCCAGCTACTCATGAGGCTGAGGCAGGAGGATCGCTAGAGCCCAGGAGATGGAGGCTGTGGTGAGCCATGATTGTGCCACTGCACTCCAGCTTGGGGGACAGAACAAGATCCTGTCTCAGGAAAAAAAAAAAAAAAAACCTAGAGGTTTTTCAGCCCATTTGCAGAATTTTCCAGGAGATATATTCAAGTGAGAAAACCGAGATGTGGAGAAGTCTATATATGACAATCTAATTTGTGTAGAACAATGGCAAAATTAACCTCTTCAGTATGTAGGTATTTATGTGTATGTGTGGGTGTATGTATGTGATACATAACAGGTTTTTAACATGGGTTATAGGGATAGAATGACATCAAAACAGAAAAAGGAAAAAATCTGTACTTAAGAAAACAGCCTACATGGTATAATCCCATTTCTGTGTTTGTGCAAATGTACTGCTATGTATATGCACTGTGCAAAATTAAAAAGAGTTATGATTTGGCTGGGTGCAGTGGCTCACGCCTGTGATCTCAGCACTTTGGGAGGCAGAGGCGGGAGGATCACTTGAGGTCAGGAGTTCGAGACCAGCCTGGCCAACATGGCAAAACCCCGTCTGTACTAAAAATACAAAACTTAGTTGGGCATGGTAGTGCACGCCTGTAATCCCAGCTACTCAGGAGGCTGAGGCAGGAGAATTGCTTTAACGCGGGAGGCAGGGGCTGCAGTGAGCCACAATCGTACCACTGCACTGTAGCCTGGGCGACAGAGTAAGACTCCGTCTCAAAAGGAAAAAACACAAAGCCTGTAATCCCAGCACTTTGGAGCGGGCAGGTCACCTGAGGTCAAGATTTCAAGACCAGCCTGGCCAACCAACATGGTGAAACCCCATCTCTACTAAAAATACAAAACTTAGCTGGGTGTGGTGACGGGTGCCTGTAGGCCCAGCTACTTGGGAGGCTGAGGTGGGAGAATCGCTTGAACCTGGGAGGCAGAGGTTGCAGTGAGCTGAGATCGGGCCACTGCACTCCAGCCTGGGTGACAGAGCGAGACTCCTCAAAAAAAAAAAAAGAGAGTTACAATTTTAAAAACGATTGAGAGGGAATGTTTAATGTCATTTGATGTCATTAAGGAAGTACAAGGGAATTTGCTTAGGAGTTGGAAAATGCCCGAGAGTGTGGGAAAACAAAGACTTAGTGGCCACTGCCGGTGCTGGTCAGCCAGGGAAGGCTCCGTGGAAGGTTTAGAGGGGAGAGAGGGGCAGCTGGATGCTCTTGGGCCACCGTCGCTCCCTGATCTCTGCGCCTCTTCCTCCTGCTCCGGGAGAAATAATGTTTCCCTGGGGGATGAAAAGCATCTCTTTGTGCGGGCTTTAATTGCCATGTTGTTGTGCCAAGGGAGTGAGTGGCAGGCGGGAGCAGCAGCTGGGCACAGCCAATGCCAGGCAGCGGTGCCCGCTCCCTCAGGACGGCCCAGCCAGCTGACTCCCGGGAGCGCTGCCCACCTCTGCCCCCAGCTGGGCGCCTGCAGAGGGACTGACCACCCGTGGGGCTGGGGGAGGATGACTGGAGGAGGAGAAAGGGGCAGGCATCTGGGAGGGTCTCAGCCACTCTCAGAGGCTTATTCATCTCATCCTCATTTCCCCTCCCCCCTTCTTGTTTTTCAGACTGTCAGCATCAATAAGGCCATTAATACGCAGGAAGTGGCTGTAAAGGAAAAACATGCCAGAAATATCCTTTTGGATGTTGCTTGGAAGACCGACCCCGAGGCAGGTCAACTCGTGGGGACTGAGGTCAGGGCCAGGCTCCCTTGCTCAGCTCCAAGAAGGGGCAGCCCTGCACAGGCCAGGTCCCTGCAGCTTCTGATGACGGCAGCTTCTCAGCGCTGGCTGCAGAGACCACAGACCTTCCGGGCGGCAGACACCAAAGAGGCCGTGGAGCTCAGGCCTTTCAACTTACCAAAGATCCTGCTCCTTTCCTTGAAGACTTAAGCATTCCTTTCTTTCCTTTTTCCGAACGGGGTCTTGCCATGTTGCCCAGGCTGGAGTGCAATGGCACGATCATACCTCACTGCAGCCTCCAACTCCTGGGTTCACGCAGTCCTCTCGTCTCAGCCTCCTGAGTAGCTGGGACTACAGGTGTGCACCACTACACCTGGCTAATTTATTTTATGTTTTGTAGAGATGGGGTATTGCTCGTTGCCCAAGCTGGTCTCAAGCTCCTGGCCTCAAGCAATCCTCCGTCCTCTGTCACCCCAAATTGCTGGGTTATGGGGGAGAGCCGCTGCGCCTGGCCGACTCAAGCTCTGTAGAATGTCGAAGTCACTTGAAAGTCACTTTCCTTTGAGAGATCTCCTGGGGGTCAGGAGGGATCTTCACCTGTTATCGAAGCCCTCCAGTTCCTCTCTTTGCCCACAGGGACACAGGGACCACTCCTCTGGGGGTTACATAATCAATAATCCTCTCCTTTTCTAAGCATGAAAGGAAAAAAAAAAGAGAGAGTATTTTTTTTTCTTTTTTGAGACAGAGTCTCACTCTGTTGCCCAGGCCGGAGGGCAGTGGCATGTTCTCGGCTCACGATTCTTGTGCCTCAGCCTCCCGAGTAGCTGGGATGATAGGCTTATGCCACCACACCCGGCTGATTTTTGTAATTTTAGTAGGGACAGGGTTTCGCCATGTTGGCCAGGCTGGTCTTGAACGCCTCTTACTAAAGTGCTGGGATTACAGGTATGAGCCACCACTCTTGGCCGAAAGAAGAAAGTTTTAGCTTCAGTGGTTGATTGGCCTTAAACCGAGGCAGGGGCTCTCTACCTTCGTGAACAGGTTCAACCTACGCCAGAGGGGAGAAGGCAAGAGCCTTGAAGTGGATTAGGAAATGGATGGCTTGAAAGCCCTCTGTAAGCCCACCACACATAGGAGCAGCCTATGGCTTTGTAGAGAGGCGCAGGACCTTGCTGGCTGATGAATACCTAGGGATCTGCCTTCGTGTTGCAGAATCCAGGAGCTGGACAGCTTAATCCCCAAAGGCTGAAGGAGAGAGGCTGCCAGGGGGGTGGCTAAGCTTTTAACTCTCTGTGTGCTGCACCAGAGCAAGGTAGAGTTCCGGGCAAGCAGAGTTGGGAATTTTTTTTTTTTTTTTTTTTTTTTTTTTGAGACAGTCTTGCTCTGTCGCCCAGGCTGGAGTGCAATAGCGTGATCTCGGCTCACTGCAATCTCTGCCTCCCAAGCTCAAGAGATCCACCTGCCTCAACCTCCCAAGTAGCTGGGACCACAGGTGTGTATCACTACCCCTGGCTAATTTTTGTATTTTTAGTAGAGACAGGGTTTTGCCATGTTGCTCAGGCTAGTCTCAAACTCCTGAGCTCAAGCCATCCTCCTGCTTTGGCCTCCCAAAGTGCTGGAATTACAGGCATGAGCCACCGCGCCCAGCCTTGGAGCCCACGCCCAACCTCGGAGGCTGGACTTCTGTCTACAATGGGAAGCTCCTCCTTGCCTGGGCTCTTGGTTGCTGTGCCACAGCCAGGCAGGCCAGAGCAGCTTGTCCCGAAGCCTTCTGGCCTCAACCCCTAGAGGCGACCCTCCAGGTTAGCTAGCCAGAGAAGCCAGCATTGCTTAGTGTGGTGTGTGAACTGCTGTTTGCTAGAGGGAAAGCAGCTTGCCTTTAGTGGGAAGATGCTTTGGCTGGAATTAGCATGGGAGCCGCAGAACCTCTCTGGGGTGACCCAGAAGTCCAGTCCTACGCAAGCCTAGCTAGATCTTGCTCTTTTTTTTTTTTCCCCCCAGAAAGACACAGGCCCCTTGCTTTCCTGCACCATGTTTGGTACCCTTGCGATGATCCAAAGCAAACCAAGAGAAGCCTTTATTTTAAATGGCCCAGTTGATTTTCTCAGAGGAAATGACTCAGCCCTGACCCTTACCTACAAATAATTTGTGATCAGTCTGATAAATGATATGAGTAAGGGAGAGACAGTTGTCACCAGGCAGCGTGTTGTTCAGGACAAGACATGGGCGCAGAGAGGCCAGGCCTGCAGCAGCAGGGTCACGTCACATGCTGCCAGGGAGGCTCCCTGGGAGGAGGGAAGGGACCCTGCAAGGAGATTCTGACATCCCGCCACTGGAACTCTCGGGCTCACTCTGGGACCTTGAGTGGGGCCTCCATGAGCCTTAGGTCACTTTCCGTCCAATCAAAGGTTGGACAAAGAAGATTTCAGGCCAGGCGTGGTGGTGGCTCACACCTGTAATCCCAGCACTTTGGAAGGTGGAGGCGAGTGGATCACCTGAGGTCAGGAAGAGACCAGCCTGGCCAACATGGTAAAACCCCGTGCTACTGAAAATACAAAATTAGCCAGGCATGGTGGCAGGCACCTGTAATCCCAGCTACTTGGGAGGCTGTGGCAGGAGAATCACTTGAACCCGGGAGGCAGAGATTGCAGTGAGCCGAGATCATGCTACTGTGCTCCAGCCTTGCCAACAAGAGCAAAACTCCGTTTCAAAAGAACAAAGTAGATTTCAAAGATTTAACAGTTCAGCTCTAACATTCTATGAGTCTCTGATTCATAATTTCTAAATGGCGAATAAATGTTGAAAAATCAACTCCATACAGTAGGGTTTGAAATGCCTAATTAAAGATTATTTATTTATTTATTTATTTGAGGCAAGGTCATGCATTGTCACCCAGGCTGGAGTGCAATGACACAGTCAGGCTCAAGTAATCCTCCCTCCTCAGCCTCCTGAGTAGCTGGGACTACAGGCACACGCCATCATGCCTGGCTCTTTTTTTATAGAGATGGCGTCTCGCCATGGCCCAGGCTGGTTTTGAACTCCTAGCTGGGCTCAAGCAGTCCTCCCACTGAGCCACCACACCGAGCCCATTTATCGTTATCGGGTCTTTTATCAGCTGCCTTAGATACAAACTGAATAAGCATTAGGAAGTCTGACTTCAGACATGCTGCTTACCCATTTATCACAGATGCCCAAATGGTGAAAAGGTTGGCCCGCCACCTTGGTATTCACTCCTGGAGGGCTGGGGACTGAGTTTTATTTTTCTTATTTTCTTTTTTTCTCCCTGAATGGATTTTACAGTCTTTGACACACACTTGGGGCATAAAAATGCTTATAATGTGAAAGAATGCCAGAAAGGTCTCCTCGCCCATTTCAAAGTCAGGGTTCCTGAGCCCGGTGCGGTGGTTTGCACCTGTAATCCCAGCACTTTGGGAGGCCCAGGCAGGAGGATCACATAGCCCAGGAATTCAAGACCAGCCTGGGCAACATAGTGAGACCCATCTCTACAAAAAATAAAAAATTAGCTAAGTGTGTTGGTGCACGCCTGTAGTCCCAGCTACTTGGGAGGCTGAGCGGGGAGGATCAGTTGAGCTCAGAAGTTGGAGGCTGCAGTGAGCTATGAGTGCACCAATGCACTCCAGGCTGGGCAACAGAAGGAGACTCTGTCTCTAAAAACTTAATTAATTAACAAAATTAATTTTAAATTTAATAAAATAAAGCCAGGGTGCCTGGTTAGCTCTGCACTCAGCTTCGGTTTAGAGGCTGCTCTCAGGAAAAGTAAGCACTGTCCGCTGGGAGAAGGGAGTACGGGGAGGCTGGGGGTTGCTGGTCTCTCCTCACTGCTTCCTTGCAGTCTGCAGGGGCTGTGCTTTAAGTGAAACCAAAAATTATTTCAGAAATCACTCTTACACCAAGGTCGGGTGCGGTGGCTCACACCTGTAATCCCAGAACTTTGGGAGGCCAAGGTGGGCAGATATCTTGAGGCCAGAAGTTCGAGACCAGCCTGAGCAACATGGGGAAACCCCATCTCTACTAAAAATACCAAAATTAGTCTGGCGTGGTGGCGGGCACCTGTGATCCCTGCTACTTGGGAGGCTGAGGCACGAGAATTGCTTGAACCTGGGAGGTGGAGTTTGCAGTGAGCCAAGATTGTTCCACTGTACTCAAGGCTGGGCGACAGAGTGAGACCCTGTCTAAAAAAAAAAAAAAAGAATAGAAAGAAAGAACGAAAGAGAGAGAGAGAAGGAAGGAAGGAAGGGGAAAGAGAGAGAGGGACGGAAGGAAGGAGAGAGAAGGAAAGAAAGAGAAAAAGAAAGAAAAGAAAGAGAAAGACAGAAAGAAAGGAGGAAAGAAAAAGAAAGGAAAGAAAGGAAAGAAAAGAAAGAAAGAAAGAAAGAAAGAAAGAAAGAAAGAAAGAAAGAAAGAAAGAAAGAAAGAAAGAAAGAAAGAAAGAAAGAAAGACTCCTGTATCAAAAGCTGACTGTAGCTTCCAGACCCAAACATCTGTTTAAGCCCACCCCTCACTAAATGAAAATGTCATTGGCGAAAGGAGCTTTACGGTATTTTCCAGTTCAGAAGCAAAATAACATGTGCTCCGGGTGAGTCATTTAGTTTGCTACCTGAGGCGAGTCTTTCTGCCCTAAATGACAGCGCACTTGTGACCTGAGCCTTGCTGAGTAAAGCCTAAAGTTCCGGGCACAGAGTTGTCCTTACAGCTGACGGTGCCCAGTTGGTGGGTCCGTGAATCTTGTCGAAGCACACAATTACAAAAGTGGAAATTCTCCCTTCACTCCACAAAGAGCTCACTAATGACAGAGATCTAGAATGCTGAACTTAAAATCATGTGAGGCCAGAGGGACATTTATTTTGAGATGGAGTCTCGCTCTGTCGCCCAGGCTGGAGTGCAGTGGTGCGATCTCGGCTCACGGCAGCCTCCACCTCCCAGGTTCAAGTGATTCTCCTGCCTCAGCCTCCCGATTAGGTGGGATTACACGCATGCACCACCACACCCGGCTAATTTTTGTACTTTTAGTAGAGACGGGGTTTCACCACGTTGGCCAGGCTGATCTCGATCTGCGGACCTAGTGCGCCACCCACCTCAGCCTCCCAAAGTGCTGGGATTACAGCCGTGAGCCGCCACACCCGACCCTGGTGAACATTTATTACATGCAAACTGACGACTATCTGCAGGGGGTGGGTGTGTTTGGAATTAGGCCTGGGGAGAAGCGGTTCCAGGATCCCATATATGGGGAATTCAAGGTGTGGAGACATTGAAGGTGCCCCTGAATGGGGCCAGGCAGGTTTACGGAAGAAGTGGGGTGTTCAGGTTTACGGAAAGTGCATTTTAGACAAAAGATTGCTGCTGTCAAGGCAAGTACAAGGCTGGCTAAATGGAAAGGGGCCGGAGGTGCTGCCTGGAGGAGGAGCCAAGGGGTCAAGGTGCAGGATTCCCTGCAAGGACCAAGGTCCTTAATGAGGAGCGGAAGAACACCCTCACTTTTTTTTTTTTTTTTTT